ATATATATTTATTTGGTACTGGGTCTTACTACACAGTTTGGATTTGTACTGGTTCTCCTGTCTCAGCCTCTCCAGTGCTGGGATTACAGGTGTAAGCCACCATGCGTGGTCTCAGTGGCCAACCTGGTGCATGGGTTCCCAGGGCCTGCACGGCAGGGAGTATCAGGGATCAAACCTGGTCCTTGCACTTCCCAGGCAGACACTTAGACCACTGAGCTATCTCCTCAGTCCTCCAAAGCAAAAAGCTTTGAAGGACAAGAAGGCGGTGCTGAAAGGGCATCCACTGCCACCAAAAGAACATACAAACAGGGGCTAGTGAGATGGCTCAGTGGTCTAAGGCACCTACTTGGAGCAAGCTCAGCAAAGCACAGGGACCGGGGTTCAATCCCCCAGCACCACATGCCAGCCAGCCCCGCCTCCTGGTGGGCTGGGCTGGCCACACACACACACATATAAATAAATAAAAATTTTTTTAAAAAAAGAACATACAAACATCACCCACCGTCCCAAGACACTGTGGCTCCAGAGGCAGCCCAAATACCTCAGAACAGTGCTCCCGAGAGAAGCAAGCTTGACCACTACGCCATCAAGTTCTCCCATCTCTCTCGCCATCAAGTTCAGCCATGAAAAAGATCAAGGATAACACCACACTCGTGTTCATTGTGGATGTCAAAGCCAATAAGCACCAGATCAAACAAGCTGTGAAGAAGCTCTATGGCATTGATGTGGCCAGGGTCAATACCCTAATCAAGCCTGATGGAGAGAAGGCATGTGTTCAACTGGCTCCCGATTATGATGCATTGGATGTGGCCATCAAAACTGGGATCATCTAAACTGAGTCCAGGTGGCTAATTCTGAAGACATACTTTTCTCCCCCATTAAAAGATAAGGATGAAACAGCTTAGTGTGAAGACTCTGAGACCCGAGAGTTGGAACTGTAGTCCATCTCGGTTTTGTCTCCATGTTCTCACTTTCTTAAACTTTCTGGAAGAAGAGTGTTGAAACAACAATGCAGTCTGCCCTATTCCCGAGCAGGTATTCTGGGTGTCACGTTCACCCCATGCCTCCTTGTGCCATGCCAGTGGCCCCAGCTCGAGCCCCTCCTTCCCTGGTCTGATGGCTTTGTGGCTGCCCCCAGGGGAGGAGGCTGGGTGGGAGCTGCCCAGATGAGTCTGGGAATCAGGGCACGCTGCTTGCTTTCCCATGGGGCTCGAGCTCAGGCACGGAATTCCAAGGCGGACAGCGGTGCTCGCCAGCCGCAGATGTGAAGGTGGGGCCACTCTCCAGTGACCAGGCAGCAGGGGTGGCAGCGTTTAAGACCGAATTCTAGGGCTGGAGAGATGGCTCAGTGGTCTAAGGCACCTACTTAGAACAAGCTTGGCAAAGCATCAGGGACCGCGGTTCAATCCCCCAGCACCACATGCCAGGCAGCCCCGCCCCCTGGTGGGCTGAGCTGGCCACACACACACACATCTCTCTCTCTCTCTCTCTCTCTCTCTCTCTCTCTCTCTCTCTCAAATAAATAAAAAATAAAAAAAAAAAATTTAAAAAAAAAAGACCGAATTCTAGCCTTCTCTATGTAAAATCAGAATTCAAGACAGTCTCACGATGTAGTTAGGCTGCCCTCAAAACTCCAGGCGATCTCCCTGCTTCAGCTGAGTGCTGGGAAGACAGGTGAGCACCGCTGCACACAACTTTATGCTTAAGATCTAACCTCCCTTATCAGACAAGGCCCAGGAACTACTAGTTTAGCACAAAATACATATTAAAGAGGACCCCAGGGGCCGGGGAGATGGCTCAGTAGAGTAAGCGCTTGCCTGGCAAGTGCAAGGGCCCGAGTTCAATCCCCGGTTCTGCCTAAAAAATAGGATAGGACCCTGGCAATGCACGAGAATACACCAAGCAGTGTCCTGGCACACCATAGGTTAACTCCTCAGGACCTCCCTAAGGGAGGCACAGCTATAGGCCCCAGCAGGAATAAAGGAAATAAATCACAGGCAAACCGGGATGGGAGAGCTGGCCCAGCTCTGGCAGTCCCTCGAGGGCACCTGTGCTCAGCACCCAAGCTGCGCTCTTCATCCTCGAAGCTCAGGGTCAGGCAGGAATGCTCTTGACAGAACCAGCCCACCAGTAAACCTCAGGTCACTGGGAGAGTCGTTCATTTTGGTTTCCCTTAATCTGACGTTTGGGTGAAACTTTACAACTTTGGTCTTCTTGCATCACATTTCAGTTATTTTCTCTCTTTTGGGTTTTTTTTTTTTTTTCTGTATTCAGGACAGGGTTTACAGGGTCTCACTACATAGACTCCCAGTGATTCTTTCAGTCTCCCAAGCACTGGGATTACAGGTGTACGCCACCACACCCAGTCTCATTCCTATCTCAGCCTGCCCCAGGGGCAGCGCGCTCTGCCTAAGCAGGTGTTTTAGTCTGCTGAGCTATCAGGCTGGCCCTTTCCTTTTTGGATTTTTGAGACAGAAATCTTATTATGTGGTCCTGGCTGGCCTTCAACTATGTTGCCCTGATTAGTCTCAAACTCTGGGTGATCCTCCTGCCTCAGCCTCCCTCCAGCCTCAGCCTCCCAAGTGCGGGGATTAAAGGCTTGACCCAGTCTCCACAGCACACTTGGGCTGAGGCAGGAGGACTGAAAGTTCAAACCCACCTTGGGACTTGAGAGCCTGTGTCAAAGTTTAAAAAGGGGAGGGGTTAGAGTTGAGGGTAGTACAGCTCTAGCACAGACCAGGCTGATCGGAACCCTAGTGCCTGAGAAAACAAAGCCCATGCTGACCAATGACAAAGTAGAAGTGGCCCAGGCGCTGCTGTACAGCCAGAGAACGACGGCTTGGGGACCCACGGTGGGTCAGCAGCAGGGGTGTGGCTGAGCTGCACAAGGACATGTTAGGTATCTGCACTGATAACCTCCACTGATCTCTGAGCTGCACACACTCCATCGCAGTTAACAGAGACAAAGGCTCGGGTCAGGGAGCAAGACCTAGCAAATGGACAGGTCACAAGACGGTGTGAAGAATGATGTCTAGACCTGTCTAGTCACAGGCTTCCAGATTATCTGTAGCTGGGAAAATGCATCAGAGGTAGCCAGCCAAGCCTTCTTTCGTAATGCTGGAGTTCCCCGCCCTCAGCAAAGTCGGATTTCCTGCCAGGCCTTCCCAGAGTGGCTAGCGATCATTTCACAAGCTCAGCGACATGGTTTAAGAGGCTCTGCACACCAGCCGCATCCCTTTAATCCTGGAACAAAGTGCTGAGAAAGATAACAGTTCGGATTTTTTTTTTAAACCCAAGCCCATCTACCTGCTGAAGAGAATTCAAGTAACTGTAGTCACAATTTTCTTCATCTGCATTAAAAATGGCTTTCGCTGGGTACAGAGTCAAATAATCCCAGCACTTGGGAGGCTGAGGCCGGAGGATCGCTGCCAAGTTCAAGGTCGGGCAGTTTGTGCTACACAGTGAGTTCAAGGCCACCATGAACTAGTAGGACCCTGTCTCAAAAAACAAGCAATCTTTCATGAGTCTATCCAGAGCTGAGGACTTACAAAAGACCACAAACCACGATCCTTAATGTCTATACACATTCTTTCTGGTTCAAGATTGTGCCTATACAGGGAAGCCAGAGAGGGAGGGGTAAGACATTTCTATTTCTCGAGTACCTGGTAACCATGAACGGGCGTCTAAACCTAAGCGAAGCTTTATTGTGACAGTCTCAGACCCTATGTCCTGCTGAGGCAGGAGGATCACCGAGAGTTTGACCCTATGTTCAGGCCCATGGCGACTCCTTGGGGGAGAAGCTGCGTGCAGCGCCGAGGGGATCAAGAGCGCGGGAGCCCAGGCTGGACCCAGTCACCAGCCGGCTGTGTGACCTTGGACCAGTTTCATATCCTCTCTGGGCATCAGGGTCCGCACCGCACGCTGGCGGTTGAACCACGTGGTCTCCAAAGTCCTTCCAGCCGAAAGCTCGGTACCAAACCGATCTCGCCATTCAAGTCGCTTCCTGTGGGCGCGGCCCCTGACTATAACGGTCCCCTCCCCCGCGTAGGCCCGCGAAACATCCCTCCCCAGGCCCCTCAAGCAACGCCGCCGTCCGGACCAGCCCGTGCTCAACTCCGCCCTCTCCCGGAGGCGTCCCGGCGTGCCCCGCGCCAGGTACCGAAAGCGCCAGGGCGACTCCCGCCTTTGCGAGCCTCGACCCCAAACTCCTCTCCACAGTGCTCCTGGACGCCCTGACCTATCAACGTCCAGGACGCCAACCAATCACTGGAGCTTAGAGCCGTCCCTCCGGCCCACCCTCCTCCGCGCGCTCAGCCGGTCGGAGCGCTAGGCCCTTACCAAACTTACCCAATCACAGAGTGGCTCTCATCTACCCCACCCCCAATGTCCCGCCTCCAGGCCAATCCGCGCGCCCCATTCTTCTACCCGCCTAGCCAACCCGGGGCCTTGAAACCCGCGGGCGAATAGGCGCAGCGCGGTCCTTCAAGGCTGGCCCACTGGCCAATTGGGGATTCCGCGTGGCCATGGCGGCAACCAATTGCTGTGGAGCGCGGTGCCGCCGCGGAGAGGTCCGGCCCGAATATCCCTCCGCCTTCCTCCCGCCCTCTCTCTCCCTGCCTGCGAGCCGCCGCTCACTTACAGCCTTCCTTCTTTCTCCCTCCGCCGCCCGAGCACCAGTCGCGCTCCTAGCTGCCCCCGGGGTCCCTCCCCTGCCGCCAGAGGAACAGCCACCGCGCCGCTAGCAGCACCTTAGGAAGGCAGAAAGTAGGGAAGAAGGAAGGAAGGGGGCCTAAGCGTCCGCCCGGAGGAAGCCGGTGAATGGGCTTGTGGTGACCCCCGCCCCCCACCCCACCCTCCCTTCCCACCCGACCCCCAACCCCCATCCCCAGTTGGAGCCGCCGCCCGAGAGAGACCGGGCCGCCGTCTAGGGAGGAGTCGCGTCGCCACCTTCGCCATGGAGCTGATCACCATTCTCGAGAAGACCGTGTCTCCGGGTAGGACGCGGGGGTCGGGGTTCGGGCCGAGGTGACCGTGGTGGGGGAGGGGGCCGGCCCCTGACCCCGCTCCTGGCCCACTTTCCACCACTAGATCGGCTGGAGCTGGAAGCGGCGCAGAAGTTCCTGGAGCGCGCGGCTGTGGAGAACCTGGTGCGTGCGCCCCGCCGCGCCCCATCCCCTGCGTGCAGCCCTTCCCGCCCTCCCGGAGGCCCAGGCCTCGGAACCCACCCCGCCCCATCCCGTCCCCCTCCCCCCTGCCCGGTCCAACCTAACCCCGCGGTCTGGAAGCCGGTGGGTGTGTCCCGCCCCGGGCCTTGCGGCTGACCAATAGTGCGGCGCGGCGCGGTGAGTGCCGCCCAATCGGCGTGCGGCTTGAGGGCGGCGGTGCGGCGGGAGGGAAGGGAAGTTAGGTTGCGCCGCGCTGCGTGTTCAGCAAGGGTGGGGGTGGGGGAGCCGGGCCTAGGGGCCATGTGGGAGCTCGGCCGGCTAACCCGCGCGTTGTGGCCAGGCTTGTCCTTCCTTCGCTGGTGCCACAGCGGCTCTCCGCAGCGACTTCCCAGGGAGCGTTCTGGCTCTCTTTATCTGTACTCACTGCACTCCATTGCCTTCTGAACCCATTTCCACTATTTTTTTTCTCTTTCGTCCCTGTTTATTGCCTTCCTGGGAGGGAGAGAGATGTGTGTAGGTTTGGACTTAGGTGGAGACCAGAACACTGGGGATCTGCGCGAGCCTGCTCATCCTTAAATCAGGCCCATTTTCCTGAAATCACAGACGAAAGCCCTCCATTTTTCCTATCTTCAAATTTAAGGAGTGCGGAAAAAAGTCTCCTAAAGATTGGACCTTAACGTACAAACAAATAGGGGACAGGCTCGCTGAAACAGCTTGGTGCCACTGGTCTCGGCAATGTCCCTTTGGTGTCCTGACCCCGTGGGGTTAGGGGGAGGAGGGGGGTAGAAGATGCTTGAGGTCTTTTTAAGGTAACAACTGTAAATAACATTGTAATCAAGTGTGCCATTTTGCGGTATCCTAAAGAGAACGTCCACAACAAAGTGACAAGGAGTATCCTCTGTATAGTGTCTTTGATTTTTTTTCTTTTTTTTTTTAGGAGGGTGCTTGGGGCTAGTTTTTACTAACCTTTTAATCCTTAACTTTCCTCCGAAAGGATTTTCTAGCTAGGCTATAGACTGATAGCTCCATTTAGGTACATTTCTGCTTCTGCTTTTGCTAATTGGCAAGAAGTCTGTTATCTTAGAATTTCTAGCATTCTTTGTGGGTACATAATACAAGTTGGGAGTTCTTTCCCAGTGGTTGTTGTAAGCTGTAAGAAAATATATCTGCTTCTGGTTTTCCTGGTTTACTTTCCTGTTTGGACAAGTCTTTTTTTTTTTTTTTTTTTTTTTTTTTTTTTTTTTTTTTTGATGGGGGGAAAGAGCTATGTGGGCTAACTTTTTCTCTACCAAAAGAGAAGCCTTGAGACGTTTGTGTTAGAAAACCTGAGTGTGTTTTCAGGGATCCAGCGTTAGGCAGTGGACAGCTCCATAAGAGGCACTGAAGCTACAGGCATTAGTTAGCTGTCCACTGTTACATACAAAAATCATTTTCTTCGGGACAACTTGCCTGTTTTTCTTTTCAGCTTTCTGTTTCTGAATATTTTTTCAGTGTCTACACTTTTTTTCTTGTTTTTCTACACATTCTTTTAAAATGTGGAAGACTAGGGTTTTTGAGCCTGAGGCTATTCTGTGCTTCTGTTTTATGAAAGCTTACCTGCTTTTATGAGGTGAGAAGCAACCCAGAATATCATTATTCTTGGAATAACTTTTATCTAATTTAAAAAGTACTTTTGCTCTTCCTCCTGTTTGATTCATTCATTCAACAAATACTGAGTACTGTGCATCATTCTGAGTGCCTGGGACACTTCATTGCTTATGAAAGAATCCACTAGCTACTAGATGAAATTTGTTTTAATTCCAGAAATCTAATTTGAAGTTTTGGGCACCAAGGGTGGTGACCTTGCTAGGCACAAGGCACCAAGCCCAGTAGCAAGCACTTCCGTGCAGTGTGTATGATGTGTTCTAAAAAGTGCCCCCTCCCCAAGATTTTATCCTCTAAAAGGTATCTTCAGTTGTGAAAATTTGCAAGAGATTTTTTAATTCATGACAGAATCTTCTCTTTAACAGCCCACTTTTCTTGTGGAACTGTCCAGAGTGCTGGCAAATCCAGGAAACAGTCAGGTTGCCAGAGTTGCAGCTGGTCTACAGATCAAGAACTCTTTGACATCGAAAGATCCAGATATCAAGGCACAGTATCAGCAGAGGTGGCTCGCTATCGATGCTAATGCTCGACGGGAAGTCAAGAACTATGTGAGTAACTTCCCTCTTGTTGTATTGCCTGGGAAAAAGAAACCACCTTTGCTGGTTTGTGTTATATTTGTGTGGGACAGAGCTTGGTAGTGATAGATTTCTAGGATTTAAAATCACTTGAATATAAAAAGTGTATTTTGTTTAAGTTCCGTCTTTCAGTTTGTCCATTGATGGATGGAAGTTCTTTTTTCACATGACTGAGGCAGCCAATAGCAGTTTGAAGGGGCGCTTTAGATAGTTTGGTGAATTAGGTTCTGTATATTATCTTTGAGACTGGAGGTTTAGCTCAGTGGTTGAGTATCTGCCTAGCATGGGCAGAAACCTGTGTTAGATTCTCCAGAAGCTCAAAAAAGTGTGTGTGTGTGTGTTTCTAAGTTTTCCAGAAATTGTGATTTGGAGATCTAGAATGGGGATCAGGGATATTTTAATTTTTTTATCTTTTTAAATTTTATTTATGTGTGTGTGTGTGTGTGTGTGTGTGTGGCCTGCTCAGCCCACCAGGGGGCGGGGCTGGCAGGCATGTGGTACTGGGGATTGAACCGTGGTCCCTGTGCTTTAGCTAAGCTTGTTCTAAGTAGGTGCTTTAGACCACTGAGCCATGTCACCAGGCCCCCCCCCTTTTTTTTTTTTTTGTCTTTTTGAGACAGCGTTTCATTTTGCAGCTCAGGCTGGCCTTGGGCTCACTTTGTAGCCCAGCCGGGCCTCAAGCTGGTCCTTCTGCCTCAGCCTCCTAGCGCTGGGCTTGCAGGCATTCAGCAGTCTTCCCAAGGTGGCTCTTTCATCACTAGCTCTTGCTGAACTGCTCTGCAGATATTCTCACTGGTGTCACAAGAAACGAGAGTACATAGCCCTGTGAAATCAGGAGAATGAAATGGCCTCCTTGGTTTTGCAGGCCCCAGGAAGTTGAATAATGGATTTATGACAATGGTTCTTGAATCTACTTAGCAGGTTATAAAAACCTGTTCTTTGGAAACCCTTTGTCCCATGGTGTGCGCAGAGCGAGGTGATGGACTCTGGGAAGCTCATCCATTGCTCAGCACTGGCTTCTTGTGACTTGTCAGATTAGAAATCTGTAATTCCGGCAAAGAATTCAAGAGTGAATAACCCTGCCGGGTGTGGTAGCAGATGCCTGTAATCCCAATCCTTGGAAGGCAGAGGCAGGATATCGGAGCTCAAGTCCAGCCGAGGCTGCAAAGTGAGTGTAAGGCCAGCCTGCGATGTACGGTGAGACCCTGCCTCAAAAAGACAGAAAAAAGTAAATGTATACGTGGGTGTGTTTTCTTTTTTTTTTTTTTTTTTTTTTTAAGTGAGATTCTTTAGTAGTCTTGTTCCATGAGTAAGGCCCAAAGAGCAGTTAAGTCTGTGTGTTGCCATTTTGACTTAGATTTGTAGGCTTTTTTCATTTGTGTATTTTGGACTAATGGCGATTACACTCAACACTGGCCCTGAGCTTCATCCTCAGCCCTTTTTTATTTTGAGACAGGATCTCCCTGTGTTGCTAAGGTGTGAAGACTGGGTTCAATCTTGGGCTCCTCTTACCTCAGCCTCCCAGATTGCTGGGATTACAGGCATGAGCTGCCCTTGGTATTTGAGGGGAAACCAGGGGTGCGCCCCACACCTAGACTTGCTCTGGTCCGTGGTTGTTCCCATCATGTTTGCTGTTTTAGCATTAGGCAAATTACTGCCCCTTAGGTAGCTACTTCTTTTTCTGCTGCTTCTCCAGTCATGCTTGACAGCACCTGTGACAGGAAACTTTTAGAAGCCACTTTTATTTTGAATAGTT